TTTTATTTATTGGCTGATTTCTAGTCCATTCAGTATTGCCCAACCTGCCCTGTCCTGAACAATCATAACAGAGGTGATTTAAAGATAAATGACCTAAACATACAGCAGCAGCAGCTATTTTAATTTTAACGGTCTAAAACAGCTAAAAATACATCACACTTTCCATGCAAGTAACCTTGAGGTTATGAGTGAACTTCAGAAAAAAAAAATGCTACAAAAGATGGTAAACTACAGTCCAATCTGTTTGTTTTTAGTGTATTATGTCTACATGAATACTAATGAGGGCAACAAGAATTCAGAAGACAAGGAGAGCGTGGGAGAGAGAGGGAGAAACTGTATACTAGAATGTCTCCATGATAAGAACGAGGGAAATATTCATTACTGAGGTTACAATTTGCGCACAATAAGTCCACCCAGACAGGCACTGAGATCCAGTTCATAGCTTTCTGTGGATCTTTACATCTAAATATAATCGCACACAGTACAATCTGATGTGTGCACAGACACCGACACTTGCACGCTCAGACGAGGAGCAGGAAAATATTTTAGCCCTTATATGGAAGCTCACACAGGCATTTGCGACCCCCAATCCATATTTCAATTTCCATCCTCTCATGTAAACGAATTCAATCGCCACTACGTGTCCTCAGTGCAACCGTCTGTGTGAAAAATGAGCCTATGCTCACCCACACATCCTGACGCCTTCACTCCCATATCTTTAACATGCACACACACACTCTTGAACCGGCCCCTCTCTTCATAAACCATTCATTGTCGAATCTCACGCGTCAACCTCGAAAATAACACACACACAGAATAAAACTGAGCTTAATTTAACTTCAGATCCACTTCAGCTGAAATACAAGTTCTTTGGCCATGATTAGTAAACTGCTACAGGAACAGGTGCAGAGCATTTTTTCTGTTACCCATAACCCTCTGCCATTTTCAATTATAACAATGTTACTGTACAATGTAATGAGGTCTATAATAGCTGAAGAAAGCTACTCATTAATATTCACATTCAAACAGCTACTGCAATATATCCACAATTTATCAAGAAATACAGTAACAAGTCAAACCTCAATACCTTGCCATTAATGCAGCTCCATCTGCCAATTAACTGGTCAGCCGTGTTAAACAAAGAGTTCACCCAAAAATTTAAATTTGCTGAAAAAGTACTGACTCTCAAGCCATCCAAGATGTAGATGAGTTTGTTTCAGAGGTCATTAGAACACATTTATTTCACTTGCTCAAAGGATCCTCTGCAGTGAATGGGTGCCATCAGAATCAGAGCCCAATCAGCTGATTAAAACAATAATCCACAAGAAAACAGATGTAACTCTAGTCCATAAATAAAGTATTGGTAATAAACAAATAAACTGTCATTTCTAGCAAAATTAAAAAAAAGAAAACACACATACATAAGTTTCCCTCCAGTGAAAACTCCATCCCCAGTTGTCCTCTCACATCAAAATCCACTAAAATATTTGTTATTAAATGTTTCACTTGTAAACAGTGCTTGATCTGGGCATATTTCTCAACTGATTCAGACGAGATGATTTTAAACTGGAGAAAGCAGAACGTGTTTGGACTCTGACGGACATTCTGACAGCACCCATTCACTGCAGAGGATCCATTGGTGAGCAAGTGATTTAATGCTACATTTCTCCAAATCTGTTCTGAGAAAGAAAAACTCATCTACATCTTGGATGGCCTGCCCTGGGGGTGAGTCAATTGTCAGCAAATTTTCATTTTTGGGTGAACTCTTCCTTAAACATTTTTAGTTTGTGTTTTATACTACTTCCTCTTTCAAAACCACCAGCTGTATTTTAGCATATGATTCAGACATTGTGAATATGTGAGTGTTCATTGGGTAAATTTTAAGCACACTTTATCAGGGAGTTATTAAACAAATAACAATCTATGTTTATTACACCCAAGCAGGCCATTTACTACCGTTAATATTACTGATTATTTAAAAACAACAGCTTTAAAAAAATTATAATAACAATCTGAATATTTCAGCACAGCAATCTCTCTCTTTATCTAGGCCATTTACTACCGTTAATATTACTGATTATTTAAAAACAACAGCTTTAAAAAATTATAATAACAATCTGAATATTTCAGCACAGCAATCTCTCTCTTTATCAGTCTCCCGCCTGGTCTCGGGTTTGTTCATAAATTACAACTGTTCATCATTCAAGGCAATTTGGTGCGTAATATCTTGGCTTTGATGGAGCTGCTGACTAATTGATGGATTACTTTATTTTCGAATAGCGGAAACTGCCAAGCCAGAGTTGCGGTAGTAAATCTCTCTGAAATGAAAGAAACCATCACATTTACGCTGGACTTTAATCAGCGACTAATGCAAGAGTTTATTCAGAGACGCTCCATCAGCCCCATTTTACACAGCTGATAATTACGGGAAAGAATTTGTCATTTCTGACACACCTGCTGAGACACCCCAGATTCCTCATAACAGCCACAGATTTAAGAGTGTTATTAGTGTAAACAAAATTTACATGTAACTATTCGGAGAGATTTGAGAGGCTGTTTAAAAAATAAATCTAATATCATAAATTGTATTAAATGCTAGAATTAAATGCCAGGAGCTTGGATGCTAAAATGAATCCCAATGGACAAAAATCTGCAGAATTATTCAAAATAGATTTAAAGATGCAAATACTAGTTACACTGTGCTATTTTATAGAAGACAGACAATGCAGAACTCGCATGAACATCATAGACAAAGAGAGACCGACTACAGCTCTTTAAAATTCAAAACAATGGGAAGTGGGTCAGACTGATTTCAGGACGTATGCTAAAATGCCAGAATAAATATGGAAATAAAGAATGTGAGTGCAACAACAGATGGCAGAAGTTTGACGTATTTAAAAAGAGCAGCATACTCGGAGGAGTTTCACTATTTCAGTTTCATTATTATTTCATAGCTGGGGTTAAGAACTGGGCATCAGATAGATTAGAAAAACATGCATCTCCAGAACTGCATTAGCTGAGCATTTTCACAAAATCTGTGTCTCCATCTCTCTCCAACACACTCAGAGAATTGCTCTCTGTGACTTTATGAGGCCACTAGCAAGTGAGTGGGCATTTTCAATTCATTCTCTATGGGAGTTACATGGCAGGATTGCACTAGGGATTCTGGGATTGACAAAAGAGCAAAAATGAAAAAGAATGCTCAACTTCATGCAAGTGAACAGAAAATGCCATCTTTTTCCAATATTTCTAAGGGATTTGATGCTTAAATCACATCGTCACATATTACCATACATAAACTAATGTACACTAATGTTCAAAAGTTTGGGGTCTAGAAAATATTTAAATGTCTCTGAAAGAAGAAATATTAAGTCAAAATAAAGTTTCCACTTTAATACTTTTTTTAAACAATTTATTTCTGTGATAGCAAAGCCAAATTTTCAGCAGCAATTACTCCAGTCTTCAGGCAGGGTCACATGATCCTTCAGATATCATTCTATTATGCTGATTTGCTGCTCAAGAAACATTATCAAATGTTGAAAACTGACATGCTGATTAATATTTTTTAGGGAAGCCATCATGCATTTTTGTAGAATTCAAAAACTTAAGAGTTTAAAAACTGGATTTATTTGAAATTTACTTAATATATACACACACATACATACCATATATATATATAT